GCCACCTCCAAGCATACTTGTGCAAGGCAAAGATAACATCCCATAATACTATCCAAGCTAAGTACCTCTCTTCGATCATTCTTGGTCATAGTCCACCTTCATAGTCAAGACCTATGTTTTCATGTCATAAGAGCATTATACTCCTAAGTAACCTCAAGGCACACTTGTGCAATGCACGTGGGGCATCTCATAATACCACACATACTAAGCATGTCCTTGAAGTCACCATATTCATATTTACCATTTCTAGGTGTCACTATTGGCCTACTTCATATTGACAAGGAACTATCAACTTAAGCCAATCATATCATTGAAGGCAACTAAAGCAACAACCCAAGCTAAGCATACATTCACATAAGAGGACACTTCATAACTAGTTTCAAGTCATACTTGTGCCATGTATGAATGGCATCCCATACTACCATTCACACTAAGTACTTCTTTAGGCTAACTTACTCAATGCTAACTACTTATCATTTTAGTCTATCAAAGAGTAACACACTACTAGGCTAGACCTAACTACCATGGAAAACACCCTATCATGCAATCCAAGCTATCCAAGGAAGGATACAAGTATTCCAACCTAGCTACCATGCAAACATTCAATATGATGCAAGCTACCCTTAGGGGAGTATGAATCCTCAACCCTAAGCTATCCTTAGGAGAGTATGGTGTCTCAATCCTAACCTACCGTGAAATGGTCTTGGACTAACCAAGACAAGCTACCATGAAGGCATTCTAACAATGCTAGTTCAAGATACCCTTAGGAGAGTGTAGATCCTCAATCCTAGGCTACCATGCCTATACTAATGCAAGCTACCATGAAGAGCATCCTACCAATGCTAGTTCAAGCTAACCTTAGGGGAGCATAATTCCTCAATTCCAAGCTACATAAGTCAACTACACATGAAGGAATCACAAGAGTCAACTTCAAGCTATTCTATTCTAACAAGCATGATTAATTTTAGGTGATTAGCCTTTCAATCTACAATCATTCTATATGAGAAGATCCTTTCACATTCTACATAAAAGCATTCATATAGTTCTAGGTACGTCATGTGGGTGAAAGCCTTCCACCATAACTCTATCTATGTTGTATATTAATTCTATGCAAGCTAGTTCATCATATTAGACTTACTCTTTAAGCCCTAATGATCAACATTATGACTTCAAGCCCTACATTCAAGCTTTACTCCACAATCATCATACTAGTCTAGATCACAAGACATATTAGCCCTAAGCCTTAGTCATAGGCAATTCTAAGCATAATTCATCAAAAAGTCCCAATTCTAATCATTTCAATTCATGTTCTAGCATACATGCATAAATCTAGTTCAATTCACGATTTCATATTTCTATTCTTGAATAAGTTGTATACATGGTGACAATTCTAAAAGATCTATCAAGAAACATCAATTCCTTATTAAAAGACATAAACCCACATACTTTGAAAATTAGGGTTAATCAAGGAACTCACTTAAATTCTTCATAATAACATAATGAATCAACACTAAATAGGCATATATGAGTAGTATCCAACCATTTGGAATCATACCCACCTAAAACCCATACATTGGAATTAACCCTAGCTTGATTAGGGTTCTTCTTCACAAATTAGGGGAAATTCTAGGGGACTCTATGGGTGGAAGAACCCATAGATGAAAAATTAAACGTACCACGATCAATGCCCTAGCACAAACCTTAAGAAATGGAGCCTTTGTTCTTGACCTTAGCTTCAACCCTAGCTTCTTCTTCAATAGACATTCTTCTTAGAGAGAGAAATATTTGAGAGAGGAGTGATTTGGGGTATTGATTTGGGTCTAGTGTAAAGTGACTTAAACTTAGGGGCTAATAACTTAAAAGTATATATATGTGTGTATAAAACCCTTACAAAATGACCCCCACTTAACATAAGTTGAATGGGAATTTACTTAAAAACCCCTAAACTAGGCAGCCCCGTCCAGTGGTCACGCCCACTTGTACGGACCGTCAAGGGCACCACGGCCCATGGTAGTGCCCGTGGTCCCTTGAACAGTGTCTCCTCCCACTTTCCAAGCACCTACAATACTAAGGCACCTTCACGACCACTTTTACGGACCTCAAACTAGGGTTCTGAGTTTCCTGCAAAGAACTAAGCAACGATTCCACAAAAACATGATAATCTGATTAGGAATATTCTAACAGCTAAATCGCAACTAATATCTATGGTTTTAGAAAACCTAGGTCTAAGCAAGATATAGGAATCAAGAATCTGACAGAATTGTAGGGACCTAATGGACTAAAGGAATCCACTAGTGAAATCCCACATACCTGGTGACAAAATCTATGGAGAAATCCTTCGATTTCGAGGCTGGAACGGCAGAAAACCTGTTGTGTTCTTGGAAGGGTTTGGGTCGCCTCATTTGTAGTCTTTTGATCTAGGTATGATGAATTTTTAGTGAATAAAGGTTTTGGGCATGTCTGACTAAGTTATTAGGCTTAAACTGAGTAAAATGACATAGTTTAGGCATAAAACGACGAAGTTTAAGTGCCCAACGCATATGGGAAAGGACCAAAACAACCCTGAATTAATTTTGGCGAAGCCCATCAACGGAGGGAACGACGGTCCGTTGTTTGACCTACCGGCCGTCGTTTGGATTCATCGTTCATGATCTGCCTGACAGGGCTTCACTAAACGAGCATAACGTTTTATTTAGAGATGCAATTTTAGCTAACTTGGTGGCATTGGAAAGAGGATTTAATTATCTATCATTGGGTAGGTCATGGGCCACCTAATTCATTTTTTGCTAAGGGTTATGACAATTTTAAGTTGACCAAACAATAATTTCTCTCTAACCGGCTACTGACCCTCACCTACGGTCAGACCTACAGTCCATAGGTCCAATCACAGACCATACTGGTCGATTGTGGGTGGGATAAGATACCATAAATATTTGGTGTTCAACGATGGACCCCACCTACGGACCGTGTGTCAGACCATGGACAGTTGGTGGATTCCGTGATTCTTGCACCAGGTCTGGAGAGCTACAATTATTTTTCTATTTTCTCAAATCCGAGGTGTTACAATATCTCCCCATTGGGAATATTCGTTCTCGAATGAAGTCTAAACAAGCTAAGTATGGAGGGAAGAAGTTGTAATCCCTACCACTAAATACTAGAAACTGATATCATACTGAACTGGGTTCCAAGATCATGTAAATAAGCTGAAAATGCAAGAAAAACTGAAGGAACAACACACTAAAATGGAATTTAAGCACGAGTAAAGTGAGAGACTAGAGAGGAAACTATTATCTCAAGCTGAAACGGAATCGGAAAGAAGGAGATGAGGATACTTAGCCTTCATTGCTACTTCAACTACTCATCCACCTTAGGAACACATAAGCGACCATCTCCCCCTAGGGAGAAAAACCACTACTTTCTACTGTTGAACTGCACCTTCCGACTAAAATAATATAGGATCACTGTACTGTTTTCCCTTAACCTCCGCTACCAATAAAGGTTCTGATCTATTCTGGACTATCACACCACTATCTGATGTGTCCGTAAGACTAACTCCTAGGCGAGTAAGCGGATGAAAATCTTTTCCTAATTACTTCCCTTTTTCCTCAATATGTCCTATATCACCCTTTAGATCACCTTTCTGTCCTTAAGGTAAGAGATAATTCGACCTATAGGCACTGAGCTACTACCCTTCCATTTAAGACTGGCTCATTGGAAACTTAAACCAAACGATCCTAGTTTTACAATCGACTGAGGCATAAGAGGAATGTAACCAATCCATGCCTAGAATGATATTGAAATCTACCATTTCTAACTCTACAAGATCTACTAAGGTGACTTTCTAAGAGACTGTGATATAGCAGTTTCTATATACCCGTCTAGCTATAACTGGGTCACCAACTGGAGTAGAGACTGAGAAGGATTCTGAAAGAGTTTCTAGACTAACACCTAAGATTACTGATTTATACGGAGTTACAATAGACAAAGTAGCCCCGGTTGTGTTTCCACTAAGTGTACCATATGTTAGCCATATCCTTAAGCTGGTAGGATGCCAACTCTACCCTATCATTACCAGTCACTTGCATCACTCCAAATATTTTCTTAACGTCGTCAATGAAATTATGTGGGTCCTCACCAACTTGCGACCCTAAAAACTCAGGCGGATTCATCCTAACAAAATCTCAAACTTTAGCTCTAGTCGACCCAACATTGGTATTAGTAGGAATTAGCACCTGCTGACTATTCTGATTGGCTACACTATGAGCCAAAAGTTTGAACACATTATGATTAATGTTTCAACTACACCTCATCAGATACTAGGTGTAGATGATCGTAATCTAGTATAAACCCAACAAGTGAGTTTGGGTCGATAACATAGGGAGTAGTTCAGTTTCGAATTCAATTATGAAGTTATAGCCGTGATTTTAATAGTTGTAGGAATAGGAATTATCAAAAACTTTTATTAAATTAGAAGGGTGACATGAGGTTTTAGATCAGATAGCAACCACAACCACAATAGTTAACAAGAGTAATCAGATAAGTAAAAGATACTAGGGGAATGACCGACTAATTACCCATTCTCACTTAATGGGTGTCAGGTGATTACCAAAGTTACTAAATATTCATGAGTAGGATAAACCTTAGATGAGATAAATTTATCTTGAACAACTACCTCATTTCAATTGAGTTCCCTCAAACCTCAACATGCTAAGTATGAAATCCAGCCCACAACCTCACTACATGTACTCTCTCGAGCTAGATACGTAGAATGGAACTTGGGATTCACTCTCTCAGGCTGAACCCACCATGACCCAATCACTACGAGTGCCAATTTCTCACCTTGGTTTTTCACCTCTTTCTCAAGCAAGCAAGAAACACTAAATCATATTGAAATAAACATCCAACAAGGCAATATAACCACAACAATAAATTAGACCCACTTCGTATTAGCACTACAATCGATAATACCTAACACCCACTTAGCTAAATTAAGCAATTAATCACATGGTCAAACCCCCAAGAATAATAGGGTTTTAACTATTCATCATAAAAGAAGAAAATTCAATACATAATACATGCTCCATAGCAAGGTATTGATTTCCAAAATCTTAAAATGGATAAATCTTCTTTCGATTACAACACTCAACTTAAAATCTCAAACAAAAATGCTTCAAATCAACATGAATATTGTTTTTGTTCTCTCTTTTTGTATCCATAATGACTGAATAATCATCTCTCTTCAAAAGAGTGGCAATTTATACTGATCCAAATTTTGGTATTTTTTGGGGCAGATCAGCGAGGAAAAATGGGATTCGCCGACCAGTTGGCAAATCGCCGGTCACCCTTGTCCATCGCCCTTTTATCTTCGTTTTCATCCATGATGTTTTGTGACTTTTGGCGGTCTAAGTCGGGGTTCGCTGAGTGATTCAGTGAACCGCCCTTTGTTTTTTTTTCTCGCCTTTCTGCTTGCAGCTTCACTGATAAACTTGTGCATTTCGGCGAACACAACCTTTCCTCGCCGATCCGTTCGATGAGTCGCCACTAGGGAACACCCTTCGCCCAAATTTCTCTTATCTCAAAGGTGGTGTTCTGTAAAATTGGGCGGGCTGAGAGCCACTCGGCGGACCGTCGAGTGGTCTTGGTGATCACCAAGATCGCTTTTCTCCACTTCTTCAGCTTGTTGGTTTCTTTTTTCTCGGCAGTGTCCTTGCTTTGCTCCTTAGCCTGTAATGCTGAAAATCAACTCTCTATCATCAGTTTAGAGCATAAATTTAGCATTTGAGGACACTTATATTATCACAACAAGGCTCTAAATGAGTCAAAATCTTGTACTCATCAACACCCCCAACTTAAACTTTTGTTTGTCCTCAAGTAAAACTTAAGATCAACAGTTCAATAAAGATGTCTAAAAACAGTGTTGCATAAGATTTAACATAAATGCACAAAACAAGGTTCAAACTACTCATACAATGCTTAATTGTGCACTGAAAGATTAAAATTATGACTCACCATTATCAAGGATGCTCAAGTTCACAATACTTGCCTCAAATGCAAATCCAGCTCAATAAAGGTACTCAAATGCCATCACAACAAAGTTGATTCCACATTCACACAAAATTCTTCAACAATTTAAAGTCCCAAAATCACATACAACTCTCACACTCAAAAAGACGAACATCGGCATGACTCAACCATGTTCAAACTCCACCCCATTATTAAATCACCGGATACCCCATTTTTCACTCTATTCACACACTTTATTTCACAATTCTTGCTATTTTTCAGTCTCTTTCTTTTCTTTTTCTTTCTCTTTTTTTTTTTACATAGAGGGGATTTCTAAACAGTCCATGAAAGAAGGAATTTTTACTCACGTTCCTTGACTTTCTTTCTCTTTAACCACACCCCCAACTTAGGCTTTTGGCCTAAGTTGGCTATTCGAACAAACCAATACTTCATGAAGGTTATAGGTGATGGGATAAAGAGGTCACATTTTTTTATGATTCTTTCAAGAAAAGGATAGGCTCAAAAGGTGCCAAGCAAGGTTAACACATCTCACAAGGTTTGCCAAAGAGGTATAATGTCAAATTTGGCTCACTCTCCAAAATTCTTGCCTAAGATCAATTGAATTGCTCTTTTCACTCAATCAATCGGACAAACATGGAATGTTTTAGGTGTTATCAAGAACAATGTTCAGAACAACCTCACAACACAAGGCATTGGTATCAATATCAAACAGGACTCCACACTTTCTAGCTAGCGTGAAATGTTCATTACAAGAGACTCATTTGACAACCGGCTAGTCATAACTAGATGGTAAAAGTTGACATATTGCCTATGTAACTTCATTGGCCTCATCATAGCCGTACACTCACGTCATTCAATTAAGAGCACTATTCAGGTCATATTTATTGACCACAAGCGACACTTAAAACTGCGAGAGAACAGCAGGCTACCCCCACCCCCACCAAAAGCATCCAATACTGTCCTCAATGTTATCAAGAACAACCACAACACAAAATAAACAAAATATGACAAAAATAAAAATAACGAAGAAGTACTGGCACTCAAATAAACAGAGTCGGGTGAGAAGGAATCTTCACTAGGTAGCAATTTGGTGAGGGATTGCAGAGACCACCGGACCATTCGGCGATGTACCAAACTGCATACAACTCGCTGAGATATCCAGACTGCAACCACTCCAATTTGGGGCAAGAAGGCAGATGAGACTGGGTACGCTGAGTAGCATCAGTGCATCGCCTACTGTACGTGAAATCTTGCTGAAAGTTCTAGGACTCTGACCTTTTGAGGATGGTGTAGAGGGCGGAGAAAGTTGGGCTCGCATGTCGAGTGGTTTGAGTATATCGCTAAATATTACAGTATCTCAACTGACTTCTTGATGCCACAAAAGCGATTAAAGTCGAGATCGCCAAATCCACTCGGCAAATCGCTGAAAGGGTCCTGGCGTCGCAGAATCACCCATACCTTCATGTTCAACACTCATTATTCAAAATAACTAAAATTGGGTTGCCTCCCAAGAAGCGCCTTATCTAACGTCATGGTACGACGTGGAAATGCTTTCAAGCATCTTCCAAGTACACCACTTCAATAACTGAAATTTCATGGCATTCTCCAAAATATAACTTCAAGCGTTGCCCATTCACCTTGAAGGCTGGACCTTCCTTACCTTTGACTTCGATGGCTCCATTTGTGAACACTCTTGTTACTCTAAATGGATCGAACCACTTTAATTTGAGCTTTCTCGGGTAGAGTCTGAGTCCAGAATCGTATAGCAACACCAATCTCCAACTCAAAATTCTCTCCTAAGGATTTTAGACTTATGACACTTCTTCATCTTCTCCCTGTAGAGGGCTGAACTTTCATATGCCCTAAAACTGAATTCATCCATTTCATTCAGTTGATCTACTCTTTCTTTCGAAGCCTTTACCCAATCTAAATTTAATGCCTTTAATGCCTATAGTGCTTTGTGTCCCAATTCAATCGATAAGCGACAAGATTTCCCAAAAACCAGCTCATATTGGAACATGCCAATTGGTGTCTTGTAAGTAATTTGATATGCTCAAAGAGCATCATCTAGATTTCTAGACTAATCAGTCCTATTTGCATTTACGGTCTTAGCCAATATACTCTTAATATCCTGATTCAAGACCTCAACCTTTCCACTCATTTGAGGATGGTATGGTGTTGCCACTTTATGTTTTACCCCATATTTGCTCAATGTGGATGCAAATAGCCTGTTTCAAAAATGTGAACCTCCATCACTAATAGTAGCTCGAGGGGTGCTAAACCTTGCAAATATGTAGCGCTTTAAGAAAGGAACAACACTCTTTCCTTCATTGTTGGGTACTGCCACAACTTCCACCCATTTAGAAACATAATCTACAACAACAAAAATGTACTTATTACCGAACGAGCTCACAAACGGCCCCATGAAATCTATTCCCCAAACATCAAATAACTCAACTTCTAGAATAGGCTTAAAAGGCAACTCATGCCTTCTAGTGTAACAACCCTAAAAATGAAATAGGAGGAACTAGAGCTTCTCATGTGTTTTAGATGTTAGTAACTTGTCTAAATGTTGAGTTTTGACCTTTAAAGTCTAGTTGGAAGAGTTTTGAGGTTGAACGTCAAGGGACGACCATGACATTTGGGAACTAGTCTTGTGAGTTTATGTGTTCTAAGTGGTGTATGGTAGTTCCTAGCCTTGGTTGAAAGAGTTTAGTGAGTCAACATTAAGGCACGTGTTAGACTCCATGTTAAAAAGGTGTTTCTGTAAGATGGTTAAGGGTGAAGGCTTGTGCCAAGCGAAGGAGAGAAAGGACTAAACCAAGAGGGCAAGGCTTGCTCAACCTTGGCCAAGCTACTGTCCCATGACCACAGACCACTTCACGGCCAGTGGTCATGACCACGGCTCGTGAAAATGGCCGTGAAGGTAACTTGGTGGCAAAGCCTGCAAGGCCACTTAGCCAAGTCACTGCCTCCAACTACACGAGCATCACCACGACTCGTGGTGTTGACCACGGATCGTGGGAGCTTCCGTGAACTTTCCTTGGCCTTGGAGGGCTTGGCAATTGAGGGATGCACACTGTCTAGGGGACCATGGGCACCACCAAAAGCAGTGGTTCCCTTCACGACCAGTCCAAGTGGGCGTGGACCTGACGGGGCTGCCTAAGTGAATGGTTTTTAAGTAATTTTATTTTAAGTTTTTAACATGTGGGGTTGATTTTAAATGGTTTATATCATTAATATAATTAGTTTTAAGTCTTAAAACCTTCCTTTAACACATTATTCTCAAATAACCAAATCAAAACCTCCAAAGTTTTCTCTCTCAACTTAAGGAAGAAGAAGAACTGGGAACTTGGGTTTGGATTCAAAGCTTTCTTCGTAAAATTTCTTTGGGAATTCATCAACTAAGGTATGGTGGCTCTTTATCTAGGGCTAGCTTTCTCCCTAGAGCCAAATCTCAAAATGGTTTTCAAGATTTTCAAAAGTTATGAAAAACCCCAATTATTCCTCAAACTCATGGGTTTTTGCATTAAATGGTTTCAAAAGATTTATTATGATTATATTATGGTTTAATTGATTTTTTAAGGTGAAAAACTCCATGGACCCATGACCTTCAGAAATTCCTAAATTTGGCTTATGAAGTGGGTTTGATAATTATGATTGTATATTGATGGAATTGTGTTTAGATTGACTTGTATTATTGATTTATATTGTTACCTATATCATTATATGATGAATTGTTGGAGGATTGATAAATGGTGGTTACGTCTTTGGAGAAGGGTAAGTTGACCTAATTCATGATGTATTTGGATTTGCTTTTGTATGGTTTGATCCACTTATGGTGGAGTTGTTTACTTATTGTATGTATTGTGATTACGACCTTAAAGGAATTATATGCTAAATTGAAGGATTATTATGTTATGGTATATATGAATGTACAATGTGAATGTGTTCATGTGATCTCAAGGTGATCTAGTAAAAAATGTCGTTGTGTTGTGATTGAAAGTACATTCTCTCTTAATATTCATATGTGATGATGATAGACTATGAAGAGTCTCTATATGGTGGTGTTGTATCTTTATGTGTTAGACCTAGTTGTCTCTCCTTGCTACATGAAAGCTTCTTGAATGTGATCCCTTGACTTGGTAGGCATAGGCATCCATTTCTTGAGTAATGAATGAATGAATGAGCGTCTAGGATCAGTAGACCGAAATTTGGTGCCCTTCTATAAATGACTAATGAGGTACTCTAGGCTATGACTTGAGTCAGTTAGACCTAAGCATGGTGCCCCTTCATGATGAGTCTAGGACCCTATGTGAATGTAAGGCCTTGAAGGGGTAAACCTAAGGGTGATGACCTCCTTCTTGTGTGAAATTATAGACTTAGATTTGGTGGACCGGAATGGTAGAAAACCCTCTCTAAGAAAGTGAATGAGCTACCCTTTATGAACCTTGATCGGTAGATCCTTGTGGTGCCGTTCTTGGTAGAGTGTTATGGGTCAGTAGGCCCAATGATGGCGCCTTCTCTAGTACTCACATGTGAATGAAATTACTCTACGCGAAATAAGGCTAAGCACCGAGTGGATATGGTTAATATGGTGGCTCTCTCTGAGTATGAGGTTAGAGTACAATGAACGTCTTTGGATATCCCCTAAACCGTATGCCTACATGGGTGGTTTACTAGTTCTACCCTTGGCAAGTAGAACACCTTCCACGGTGTGGGGTCTTATGACACCAGATTCCAAGCCTAGCTAGTGTGGTCTATGTCGATTAATGACTATTCCCATCATGTGAGATGTGCACTCTAGTTACTTGATAGGTTCTATAACGTGTAGGTAGTAGTATGGGATGCTATCTACACATGGCATGAGTAGGCCTTGAAGGTACTAAAGTGAGTTCCCTAAGTCTTTAATGACTATTATGTGAAGTCCCCTATATGCATGAATGTCTCCTTAAATGTCTCTAAGAATGAGTGTTGACTTATTGGTTTATGTTGAAAGGGAAAGGTCCTTATCTTTGGTAGTCTTGAGGAACACTTAGGTGTGTGTGAAGAGGTTGTATGGGCGGCCCCTTCATGTCTTACTTAGGTGGGTCTTAGGATAACCTTAGATGGAGGGTCTTAGATGATGAAATGGTTTACTTGATATATATGGTTTTGTATTAGTTGAGCATGTATATTATGTGAGTATTATCTTATATCTGGATGGTGACTTGTAATATGTCTCTTATACATGTATTATGAAGTTTTATAAAAAATAGCATGAAAAGCATATACCTCAAATAAATGTCCCTTTTTGCATGTTTTTGCATAGTCATCATACTTAGTACTTAATTGTGCTAACTCCATTCTTTTCCATGTTTTACTACAAGTGTAGGTATTGGCAAGTGAGGTGCTTTCCTTAGTGAAGCTTTGGACTAGAGTTTCTCTCAAGGCTTTGGTATGTCCTTATATGTCGAGGATAAGGATTCTATATTCTAGTTTCTTTTATTAAGACATTTGCAATAGACTTGTAGTTTCTTTCAAATGTAAAGGGCCGTGTCCCTAGTATGTTTCTTGGAGTTTTGGGTCTAAGTTTAGGTGCCATAATCTTCATTCAACAAAATATATTATAAATACACCAACATAAGTGAGAACTAACCATTTATTGTTCAAATGTTGAAGAAGACCTCTTTCTAAAAGATTCTAGGTAAGTTTCAGAAAACTAATTATGTGATTTTTAATTAGTTATTTGTGTAGTGATTGCTCCAATTATAAATGTACACTTTGTTCATGTATATTTACAGAAGTCAATAACTATTATGTCTTATTGGGAAGTGAAATATAATCCAGAGATATTTAACATTGTAGCGATGTTTCAGTTATAACTTTTGAGATAGATGATGGAAATACATATGGATAATATATAGAATAGTAAACACATGTTTCTGAGTGAGTAGTGCAGTGAAGATGACATGAAAATAGTATAAATCAAGAAAGGTGTGATTCTTAGATGATGCATTTATTTTTTAAAAATGCTAAGAGATTTAAGAGACTTGATGCATCACTATTCTCTTTTGTAAGTACAATAAATATTCATCATTTTAATAACTCATTAACTAGCTAGCTAAGATTACTAGTCAATTTAATTACTATCAATCACTTAAGAAAGACTTAGAATTACATTTTATCTTTATATGTATCTTAAAATTGTTTCACTCTTTTAGATAGGAGGCTCAAAGGTTCAGAGATTATCTTACTTTGCTAAGATTATCGAAACTCTTTACAATTTGTAGATTGTCATTTAGGACTTATCCTGATCTTTAGGCCTTTGTTACTAACTCTGATCTGTTTACTTTCGGTTATTACCATAAGGGGCTCCAATTTTAATACCTAATATATCATTAGTAATAACAAATCCTCAAACGCTAAGATTAGTAGTTTTTTACCTTATTCCTTGTGAAGAATTTTTTTATATTTCTAATGCTCGCTATGGAGTAGGACTTTGGAAATATATTATTAAGCTGGGTAATGAATTCTCCAAAAGGTACGGTTCAATTCAAGTAATTAAGAGCATGTCAAATTTTGGAAAGATAAATGGCTTGGTAGAAACTCCTTATCCTGGTTTATATGATATGGAACTTGACAAGGTCTTCTCAATTGCAAAAAACTGGAGCAACAACATCTGGAATGTACATTTAAGAAGACACCCTCAATGAGCCTAGGAGTTAGAGGGCTTGCTGGAATTGCTAGCCAAGGGGGAGGCTTCCAACAGTGATGCAAGTATTCCGGACAGAATGACTTATAAAAGTTTATTTTGGAATTTGGAGCTTATTTTTCAACATTTTTTTTATTGAGACGGGTTAACTCAGATTTAGATAGGGGCATATGTGACTTGGAGTCGTTAGAAAGTTGATAAGAACATCAAGAACACCTTGTTGATGGTCCTTGCTGCTATTTTTGGAGACTACAAAATGAGAGAAACATAAGGTGGTTTAATGGAAAATATTGTCCCAAATAACTCCAAGCCGTCATCTTATCCTAGTTTATATGATATGGAACTTGACAAGGTCTTATCAATTGCCAAAAACTGGAGCAACAACATATGGAATGTACATTTAGGAAGACACCCTCAAGCCTAGAAGCTAGATGGCTTGCTGGAATTGCTAATCAAGGTGGAAGCTTCCAACAGTGATGTAAGTATTCCGGACAGAATGACTTACTGAAGTTTATTTTGGCATTTGGAGCTTATTTTTAAATATTTTTGGATTGAGATGGGTTACCTCAGGTTTAGATAGAGGCATATGTGAGTTGGGAGTTGTTGGAAATTTGATAAGACCATCAAGAACAACTTGTTGATGATCCCTACTACTATTTTTGGAGACTTCAGAATGAGAGAAACAGGAGGTGGTTTGATGGAAAATATTGTCCCAAAAAACTCCAAGCCATCATCTTATCCTGGTTTATATGATATGGAACTTGACAAGGTCTTCTCAATTGCAAAAAACTGGAGCAACAATATCTGGAATGTACATTTAAGAATACACCCTCAAGCCTAGAAGTTAGAGGGCTTGCTGGAATTGCTAGCCAAGGTGGAAGTTTCCAATAGGATACAAGTATTCCGGACAGAATGACTTACATAAGTTTATTTTGGCATTTGGATTTTATTTTTCAACATTTTTGGATTGAGATGGGTTACCTCAGATTTAGATAGAGGCATATGTGAGTTGGAGTCGTTGGAAAGTTGATAAGACCATCAAGAACACCGTGTGGATGATCTTTGCTTCTATTTTTGGAGCCTTCAGAAATGAGAGAAACATAAGGTGGTTTGATGGAATATATTCTCCCAAATAACTCAAAGCCGTCATCTTAAAGCTAGTTTTAGTTCTATCCTTTTTTGGACAATATTGTCCCCAGTAACTAGTTCAGTACAACTCAAGGATTTTATTAGTTCTTTACTTCTTGATTGATTCGTATCAAGTGATAGGTGAATTGAGAGAGGATAGAGGATCACGCTTACAAGTAGTCGTTTCATTCTCATTTGCTGACCCAACATATATTTGAGTCAAACATAAAAGAACACTAGTGTTGAGTAGTAACGACGAAAGGCTATATTTCTTCTTTTAACACATGTCACTATTGAATAAATTCTCAACTTTTATGAATTTTACTATTAAATATATAATAATTAACAAAAGAAGATTTTGTAAATATCATATTATTATTATACACTCGCAGCTAAACACCTAAGGACCCTTTACTATTCTTCATCATCTATTAGCAATAGCTAAAGTAGCAGGTAAAGCAACAGCTTAGCAGGTAAAGCAGCAGCTAAACACCTAACAACAGTTGCTAGCAACAACTAAGTCGGCAACACTCCAGGTGCAACAACACTTTTCTATCATATTGTAAAGCAGGCCAACAACATGTTGTATACTTTATTTTTTAAAAAACACATAGCAGTTTGTAGGCACTAACTGAAGATATCAAGTTATGACAATAATACAAGTTTCAATAGTCCATCAGCGCAGAAACAAAGAAACAGAGGGTACACATTATGCAATAGATAATAATACTAGTAAAACATCTAACAAAAGTGATGTGGATGTCTTAGGGAAGCCTTAAAATCAATTGATTAGTGTTAGTACAATTATCATTTCTAAGCAGAGACACAAAATAGTGGATCAGGGATAGTAACAGTTCAACGAGGAACTAACCGTTCATATTAGAGGCTATAATTTTTTCCATTTTCTTTTCCTCTTGTCCTATAAGAGTTGTAAACTTATGTTCAAAGCTGAAGAATGAAATGTTTGACAATTTTTGTTGGTAACAGTTTAGTGTTCGAGTTACTCGCCCTCTTTTATGAACTTAAACTTTCGTTACTACACAGCTTACATCCACTAAGAATTGAAATTTACGGTACATAAGTTATTGATATTTTTCATGCTATTACTCATTGTTTGGCTCAAGTTACATGACTATAAGTGGATCCTCCATCAACTATCTAACTCGACAAAAGTACACAAAGTGGACCACTCGCACACACAACAAGTAAGGATGGTGAAAATATCAATATGAATAATATATATATGTATATAAGTTCAAGAACACCAAAAAAAAAGGAACAAAAAAAACCCAGATGAAACCCAGGGAAAAACCTAAAATTGAGAAAAACCTTAAATCGAACAAAATCAAGCATTCCACAAATCAATTCATAGTTATAATGACAAAATCATACCTGGAAGATATGGAAACACCAAGATAGGGTCTGAATAATGTCAATTGAAGCAAAGTCACAACAAGCTGTAAGAGGAGAAAGACTATTTTGTTGTTCTGCAATCAAACAACAGAGATGCAGATCATCTTTTTATAACATTTAACAGAGAAACGTGTGTTACTGTATATGCTAATTTTCCTCTAACAAACCTTGGAGATACGCACGTAATTAGATCTCTGCTTAGATGATTTTATTCAAAGAGAACATGGAAGAGAAGGTGCTTGCGGAATTTCCTCCAACGATTCCTGATTTTTTTCTAACCATCACTCCATTGACTGTAGATGCTGAGAAAATTGAGATTTTTTGTTCAGTTCTAGAGAGAAAAAGATGGAAATGAGGAAAGTTTACGCAGTACTCTATGTTTTCTTTTTGGAGAAGTGGGAGATTGGTATCACGTGTGTAGTGGAAAAATAAGGAAATAATGAAATTAAAATTTCAATACTTTTTTTACTATATAAATAATTAATAACTTGATATAAATACTTTTAACGTCTGGATATTCTACTAACTCTAATTATATTAAATAAAAAATGAACCTTTAATGAGTAGAAAAAAATGTGTTGCTATAAATACACTTTAAACGACCAGATTCATATCCCTTCGTTAAGAAGTGGTCATTAAAAGTACAGTTTCTTGTAGTGATTCCTTCATCCATGTATAGCTTTCATCCATGGAGTCCCTCCAAATTCAATTTCCAAACTAGTGATTTCCCCAGAGTTAGGGTTTGACTTCAATCTTGTGGGTTCTTTCCAAAAACATTTTTAATAGTTGATTTATGATGGATTATGATTGAATTGATGATTTATATATGATTTATTGTTGATTCATAATGAAATCCTCCAAGAACCCATGAAACCCCATATTCCCCAATTTATGCCTTTGTGATGTGGGTGAATTGATGAACGAAGAATACTATGAGATTGTGCTTGTAGTAATTTAGATAATTGAATCATGTTATTATCCATATCTAATGTTGTAAATCGATATGTATTGGATGAAATGTGATCCATGACCCAAGAGGGGTAAAACATGAGAATTGTTCATGATTGTGGATTCAATGTATATGCTTTATGAACATGTTTATAATCTCTTTGTTGTATTGATTGAAAGGTCATTCTCATAAACATATAATGAAGATGATGTGGAATTTATTCTCATAATATGATGATTCTAAGGTTGAAAGTCCATTCTCACCTATTGAATCTATGAGCTATTTTATGAATTGTGTTGGGTAAGGTGTTAAGGCACTCTTTCATGCAAGTGAACTCAATTCAAGACTAAACATGTAATTGTTGGAAGTAATGCTTAGCACCGAGTGAATATTGAATATGAGATAGAGACTCTCCCATTAAGTAAGGCCGAGTTTCTAAAGTTAATCTCATGAGATGGAAGCTCCCCCGTTAAGTAAGTTTGGGGTTTCTAGTAACAATCTCCTTGTCCCAAAATTATGTGCCCTCATAGGTTATTTAGCTAGTAGATCCACCTAAAAGCTAATACATTTAGTTCTACCTTAGGCAAGTAGGACACCTCTTTTCGGTGTGGGGCATGACTCTAAATTCTATGTTAAGCTCACATGGTCTATGTTAGTTAAGGCTATTCCCACCACGACAAGAATATAAACAAGAACATGAATTATGAATGATGAGTACTCAATAAGCTTTACTTAGCTTGGGTAGGATTATGGGATTTTATTTATGCATTGCACAAGTATGCTTTGTGGTTACAAATAGTATCGTTCTTCTATGATGAAATTCTATGTAATGAACATGCTTATGATTTTTTTCTTCCATTATCTTCTAAATGAGGTTTCTTACAAATTGCATACATTAACTAAAATGTCTTCAATTATTTCTTGCACGGCTATCATACTTAGTGCAATCTTTGTACTAACCTATATTTTCTACATTTCTATAAGTGTAGGTTCTTGTTCTTGAAGTGGTCTCCTTCTTAATCAAAGCTTGGATTGACTATTCTCCTCACTTTTGGGTAAGTCCTCATGTGTTCGAGGACGGATGATGATTTTCTAGTTTCCTTTCTTTTACTTTCATTTGAGAACTATGTTGTAAGGGTTGTGACCCTATTTGATGATTCGATTATAATAGGTGGCTAATTGAGACAAGTCTAGACTTCCGCTTTAATTATATGAAAAATTTCTTAAGACTAGAAATATGTTTTTACTCTTATTGTTCTATTACTTTATGTCATGATATGATAAGTGGCTTACATGGAGACTTTTGGGGTTCTATGTGCCTTTTTACGTCTAGGGGGTACCCTTGGGTCTTGACAAACTTGGTAATCAGAACACAAGGTTTAGAATGATTCTAGAATAATGTCTCATAAGCCACATCTAATAGAGTCTTATTAACGAGTGTGAAGCGCACCGCATTTATGAATGAGAGGCTATAAGATGTTAGGAAATTTCATTTCTTTCATTACTCTTAAGTCGTGCCTTAGAGTTTAACTCTATAAAAGTCCCTCTCATAATCCTTCTCTTGTGTCTTCAGGATATGAATACATGAAGGGCTAATGCAAGAAGGGTGGAAGAGGAGAATGTGAATCTAGGAACTCCTCCTAAAGATAATCAACCTCCGACTAATCCTCTGTCTATGATGGCTATGGAGGTTAGGTCGGCTTTTCTAACATTGGATCAAGCCATGACGACCCAAGCCAATAGAGATGTTGGGCCTCATGTGAACCCTAATATGAAATCCACGGCTTCTAGATTGAGGGTCTTTGCTAGGATGAACCCTCCTAAGTTTCTTGGTTCCAAAGTAGAAGAGGATACCCAAAGGTTTATTGATGAGGTTTGCAAGGTGCTTGATGCTATAGAGGTATCTTCAGAGGAGAAGGCGGAGCTAGAAGTCTACCAACTAAAATATGTGGCTCAAGTTTGGTATAATCAATGGAAAGGTGAGAGACCCGTAGGAGCGGGCTTGATAGGATGGGATTCATTTAAATCATAGTTTCTTGATAGGTTCGTTCCCCTAGAGTTGAGGGAACGAAAAATGCAAGAGTTCATAAACCTTCGACAAGGGGGTATGAGTGCGAAAGAGTATGCTCTAAAGTTCACCCAACTAGCCAAGTATGCTCCAACTATGCTGGCGGACTCAAGGGCTAGAATGAACAAATTTGTGATGGGAGTGTCCGACTTGGTAGTCAATGAATGTCGTTCGGCAATGCTTATTCCAAGTATGAATATTTCAAGTCTTATGGTCCATGCCTAACAAATTGAGGAGCAAAAGCTCAAGATAATGAATAAGGAGGTGAAAAGAGCTAGAACCGGTGATGGGAACTACTCCAATGCTAGGTCCGATGGACAAGGGAGACAAAGGTGAACAAAGGTTTTCTAATCAAGACTCCTCTAGTCTTTTACGTGTTGGTGTGTTCTAGTATGTTGTTGATGTTTTATGTGTTGTTTGGAGTCTAAAATCAGTCGAGGTTACCCCAGTGACTTAATAAATGTTTTTAGGGTCAAAACGTTCGTGTACGACTCCCCGGGGCCACCCTAAGGGCCCCCAAGGAGGACCCCAACCCTTGGCCAAACAAGCTGCCAAGGCAGCCTGCAAAATGCTCAAGGAGGGAGCATGTCCGCGTAGTGGACTAGCTCCACCAAGGGCCAAAAGTTTGGTCCACTTAGCGGACGTGTCGCAGACTCTTCTGCCTCGAAATTTAATTTCCAGAAACTTGTGAGAACACCTCCGCGTCGCGGACTTGTTTCCCGACGAAATTTGCGAAAATAAAATTCAAGTTTGACTTGTTTAAAAGGTCCAACTAAATGAGGGGTAGTTTGGGAAATTATTATAAACGGTTATTCTACCTATTTTACGATATTTTAAGTGGTTAAAACCCCAAAACCTAGAATTAGACCTCATTATCCAATTGAACCTTCCCTCTCAAATAAATTCTCTCTCGAGAATTCCATGGAAGACATTGATGAAGCTTCAAGCTAGGGGATGGGTTTCTACTGATTTTTCTTCAAATTCCTAAGGAAAATTAATCACAAAGGTATGGGGATTTTATCTTTGATTCTCCATTCAATCAAACAGCCAAATCAAAGTGATTTCAATGTTTTTCAAAAACACTAAAAACCCCAATTTCAATTCTAAGCTTAGGTTATTGCATGAAAGTATTTCAAATGATGATTTATGTTAATATTGATGGTTTTAAGGGAAAAAACTCCATGAACCCTTGCATATCTTGAAATCCTAATTTTGGGTCTAAAGTGGGTCTATTGATTATGAGCTAATAATGTGATATTAATGTGTAGATTGTTAT